ACCGAAATGCACCCGGGCACCGCCGGGCACCCGGGCACCCGGGCAACCGGGCCCGGCCACCGAAATCAGCGACAAACCTCACCTAACCCTTTAATCCGCTAGGACCCCTACAGAGGCAAGCTCTGATTGGGGAATGTTCGTCGATCTGCGAACAGTGTACGCGCTTGTTGTCAATCTGACGAACATGTTATTTCTCGGGTAAATCAGTTCTGTATAATCGATCTCTTCGAAAGCGGGAGGTTTCTTTTTGGGTTTTTGCTATCGTTTGGGCTCCGCAGAGGTCCTCTGCGGGCCTCGGGGCCATCAAAAGCTATACTCAGGATGAAGAGCCAGTCCCGGGGAGGTGGTTCAGACCTTTGGGGGCCCTGCGCTAGGGGAAAAAACAGCGTGACGTCGGGGGTCTGGGTACACGCCACCACCATCCCCGACCGGGGCCGAAGTATGACGCATGGACCCTCCCGGCCGAGGCCAGGAGGTCGTGCGCAGCAGCTCATGGGGCCCGGGGCGGCCCCCGTCCAGGGATGGCGGTGCACGCAGAGGTGCCGCCTCCCGGAGAGGACGACGCCGCCAGCGACGCGGAGACAGTGTCCAGCTGCAGCTCCCGCAACCCGCGCTCGCGCATGAACACGCCCTGCCCTTAGCTGCCCTGATGCGCCATTCCTGGAACACGCAGCGCGTGCCGTGTTCGAAACCTCCGTGCTGACGCGCTGCGTGTTGGCTCGGCAGGTGTGTTATTGAACGGACCGGGCGCCAGACTTACGTTTTCAGTCTGCGTGTTGAGCTCCGCGCCAACACGCTGCGGGTTGCGCGTTGCGTGTGGGGGCAGCTGAGGCCCTACCTGGGGGCGAGCAGCTTCGTGACGGCGGCGGGATCCCCCGCGGAGCCCGACGACGCCCCCGCCCCGGGCAACCGCAGGCCCGGCCGCGTGCGCAGCATGGACCCTGGGCTCGGCCTCGCCCCGAGGAGCAGCGCTGGAGCCGCGCCCTCGGACTCCGACCGGGACGCCATCAAGTCGGTCGCGCTGGAGTCCAACATGGAGATCGATGGCACGCATGAGTGAGCCTTCGCCGGAGTGACCTCTGTAGGGGGCCGCATGCGAACCCTACCCCTACCCCCCACGATTTCTGAGGGGGAGGGTGGGGTTCACTTCGCTCGGGAGCTCCCGAACTAAGCGAACCCCACCCTCCCCCTCAGAAATCATGGGGGGTAGGGCTTAGTGGGCCCTGGAAACGACAGGGCCGTTTTTTTACCGGTTCCGTTTTGCCGTTTTCTTGCCGGTTCCGACGCCGTTGTTTTACCGCTTCCGTCGCCGTTTTTGACCGGTTCCGGCTCCCGCTCCAATCCTGGAGCCGTTTTTTTGCCGTTTCCGGTCGCCGTTTTTTGGCCGTTTCCATCTTCAAGGGACATTTCCTCGGAAACGGTGAAAAAACGGCCCTGCCGCTTCCGGGGCCCACTGAGGGGTATACGGGTAGGCTCGAAAATCAGCTACGTGAGCTGATTCTCACCCCCCCCTTTGCTATCCCCCCCTTTCGCCCGACCCGATAGGGGTGGGGTTCGCATGTGGCCCCCTTCGGGCGAAGAGAACTATGCACATGCACCGATCCTGGCAAGGCCCATCCTTGAACCAGGATCGGTGCATATTCCTTCCTGGCCAAGGTAGGAGGGCGTATGCACCGATCCTGGGCTCAGGATGGGCCTGGCCAGAATCGGTGTATGTGCATATACTATAGTTTTTTTTCCTCTACCCCTGCTCGGGTGCGGGCGCCTCGGGGTCCCCACGATTGGGCTTTGGCGCGGTGCTCTCCCCGGCTGCCTGCGCGCTTGGACTCTGGGCCTGCCCCGCCGCGGCCCCCCTTCGAAGCCGCGCACCAGAGGTCACTCTTGCCCAGGCTCGCTCTTCCTCCTCCTCCTCCTCCTCCTCCTCCTCCTCCTCCTCCTCCTCCTCCTCCTCCTTCCGTAGCCATTTTGGCTCAAGATGCCAGGTTCCCTTGGGGCCAAAACGGATACCGCTAGTCCGCGGCAGCTTTCACCCTTCACGGAGGTCCCTTGCACAGGGCGCGAGCAGTGGCTCCAGTCGACGGAGTGCGCTCCTGAGGCAAGGGGATCGAGAGCCTCCAACCATCCTCAGCCATGGCGCCGGCGCCGTGGCACTCTCCGAAGTTGGACTGGATGTGCAAGTTCTGTGTACACAAAAAGTCTGGTCTTCCTCTGGTCAACTGGGGCAGCAATGATCGTTGCTTCATGTGCCATGTCCACAAGTCCGCCAGCTTCAAGTGTGTGCGCCCAAGCAAGTCTCCTTCTTTCAGCACAGGAGGCAAGGACAAGGGAGCGTTCAGCAAGTTGGTGCGCCGCCTCGAGGAGTTGGAGAAGGAGAATGCCACCCTCAAAGGCGACGGTGTCGGAGGCCCTCCGCAGTCCGACACCACCAACGAGCCAGCCGAGCTTCGCGAGGAGATCGATGCACTGGCCAAACATATCAAGTGGTTGGAGTCTATCAAAGGCGAGTGGGCAAAGGCCGCTTTGGCCGCAGTTCAGTCTCAGCTGGAAGTGGCAAGGGCCAAGCTTCACGAGAACAAACCCCTGGGGGCGAAGCTTAGCGTTCTTTCGAGGAGAGTGGAGCAAGCCCGTAAGCAAAAGGAGAAGGCCATTGCAGATCGTGCCGTGGCCCAAGCAGCTCTGGAATCAGCACAGAAGGCATTGGCAGACGCCGACGCCCTCATCGCCGAGAAGATACAGGCATATGAGAAGCTGGAGATCGAGCTGTCAGACCTCACCCAGAGGGACACGGACACGGTCGAGATGGTCGTCGATGAGGTCAAGCTTGAGGACGTTCTCTCAAGTATGGAAGGCATCAGTGACCCGAAGAAGGCCGCCCCAGCGCTGGTGGCTGCCCTCAGGGCAGGAGGTGGAGTCGGGTTACTTGCCGAGCCAGCGAGGGTACCACGGCGTGAACCAGGCCCCTGGGAGCCTGACAGGGAGGACATCGAAGATCTGCGCAAGTTGGTCAAAGATTATGTGGAGCCGTCAGCCGAGGAAAGCATTGTTAGAGCACGTGCACGTTCCTTGGCAGCAGGAGTTTTTCACCCGTATTGATTGCCCCCCTGCTGCGAAGGTGACAGACCAAGGGGGCAACAGATACAGGTCAAAGTACCGCAAGAAGTTCGTCATCAAATATGGAGGGTTGGATTTTCCTGATCACTCGGAGCTCAGGCTTTCAGAGTTCAAAGGAGAAGTCGACCCAATTGACAAATCATGGGTAAACACTACGGTGAGCTGTTGTGGAGGCAAGCCACACGGCGACTTTGTGCAGCAGCTCAAGTGGGATGCGGATCAGCATCCGTCAAGTTCCATACCTGTACCCACCACACTGGCCTTGGTCACGTATAACAGCAATGTCTGGAGTACGATGCAAGGTTTTTTGGAATGGATGGTGCTGGACAGAGCAGACCAGCCCGACGTTGTTTTCGGCCAGGAGCACAGGCTGCGCAGCGGCGTCCAGCTGAAGTCAGCACAAAGCTGGGCGCGAGAGCGCGGCTACAAGTTCCCGGCAAACGGGTGCACCGTGACGGGCAAGAGGATCACGGAGACATCCAGTGGGGTTGGCATCCTCACATCAGGTCACATCGCCAGCATTGAGCACCTCCCGAACAACGAGTTCGACAAATCCAGGCTCTTCTTCCAGCGCGTCATGCTGGGAGGTATGCAGGTGCTGCTGGTCTCCATTTACGCCATTTGCAGTGTAGGTGTGGCAGGCAACGTCGAAGTGATTGCATCGTTGCTTGAGGCGGTGCGCGCAGCCTGCCTGCCTTACATCATAGCAGGAGATTGGAATTGTGAGGCAGCATTTTTTTGGCAGAGACTCGTTTTTGAGGGCTGGCTTCCTGAGTCAGGTGCACGCAGAAGTTGTGCACAGCGGGAAGCCAACGCGTCATGACTCACATTATGTTTTTTTCGTGATCAGTGATGTGCTGCTTTCTTTTGTCAAGTCCATTTCGGTTCTGGAAGACACCCCTGGGCCCCACAGGGCGGTCAAACTTGTCCTTGGAGGGCTGGGGGGTCAGAACTACATTTACAGACGGGTCAAGCCCGACCCATTTCCAATGCCTCAGACGGGGCAATCATTTGTTCCAGGAGACGTCTCGAGCTGACCAGGCTTCAACCTGGAAGAGGGGGAGTCGGTGGACAGTCTGGCGCGCCGGTGGTTTCAGTCTGCTGAGCTCTATCTATGCGTGTTTTTGGCCATCCCAGCTTTGGACAGGCCACGTTACTGTGGAAGAGAGCTCGGTTGCCGTCTGGAAAAAAGTCCCCCTTGCGTGCGAATGGGGTAAGAGCCTTCGCAGAAAGGCCCCCCCCTTGACTCAGAAGTGGCTCAGCATCAGGCGTTTAACCATGCAATGGCTCCGCGCTTCAGACACCACCGTCTCTGCCCAACAGGAGTCGAAGGCCAGTGCCGAGAGTCGCCCTAGGGAGCTGGGGGACGCGTGGGACACGGGTGGCGTGGCGGGGGTCGGAGAAGTCGGTTTCAGGATCAGCGATTGTGAATCCTTTTTGCAACTGCTTGCGAGCGACGAGCAGAAGGGTGAAGCTTGCAAATTTGTTCAAGATCAAGTGATTGCGCACACGGCTGCAGACGCAGCCGCCGCCAGAGCCAGCTGGAGAGAATGTTCGGAGCTCGCTTTCCAGAATGGCGCGGGTTTGGCGCGCCGTTTTTCTAAGGGCCCCAGGGGCGCCGATCCGTCTGATCAGGACTCCAGCGGGCTACCTGTCGTAGGTCATGCGGCCCTCCAGGCCATGCTGGGTGAATGGGGGAGCCCGTGGGTTGTGCCTGAGCGCGAAAGTGAAGCTCACCCGCTCACCTGGTCGTTTGAGGATGCACCGCCGCTCCCTAGGATGGAGGGTCACAGGATCAAGGCGGTGTTGCAGACATTCAGGGCAAAGACAGCGCTGGGATGGGATTGTTTCCACCCGCGCTGGATCGAGCATCTGCCTGTCGAGCTGCTAGAGTCACTCTCTGCACTTATGCACCGCTGGGGAGACAACCCAGAGGACACAGACATGTTGCTAACTATCATTGTGTTCCTTGCAAAGCCCCAAGGAAGAGTGCGCCCCATAGGTATTCTCCCTCTCTTCGGTCGCATCTGGTCTCGTCTGAGGCACTCAGAAGTGGCCAAATGGGAGGGCACCCTCGGAGACTGTTTCTTCTGGGGGTCCTCGTCCGAAACGTCGTGTGACAAATCGGTCTGGATCCACAACGTGCTTGCGAGCGTTGCCCCCGCGTATAACTTTGTCAGTGTTAGTGCGTTTGTAGACCTCAGGAATTTCTATGAAATGATCAGCCACGCTGAATTATTATGTGCTGCTAGAGACACAGATTTCCCCATCAGGCAGTTAAAACCACTGCGCTGCATGCACAGAGGCCCAAAAAGGGCCACAGACCAGAGATCGACGTCATCTGAACTGCGAGCCAATGGAACAGTAATAGCAGGATGCGCTTGTGCAACTGGTCTGGCTAAACTGATGACTATCACGACACTGAGACACGTAGGAGTCAGATGTCCCACGGTGCGGATCAAGAACCGCATCGACGACATCAGCCTCCACGCCATCGGAGGCAGGCTTTCGGTCACCAGGGAAATGAAATACGCCATGAACTACCTCCTCGTGGGCCTCCAGAAGAAGGGCCCCCCGATCTCTTGGGGCAAGATGGGGATTCTCTGCAGGGACAAGGAGGTGTTTTCGGAGGTCTGTGGGGAGCTCTTGGACCTCTGGCCAGTCAACATCCCCCACCTGAAGTATGATCAATACCACAGGGACCTAGGAGGAGACGCTGTAGATGGTCGTTTTCGAAGAATTGGGACCCAGTCGAAAAGGATCCAGGAGGCCATGAAGAAAGGGGACAGCATCCAGGCCTTGCAGGGCATCGGGGTTGAAAGATCGGCGGTCCATCGTGCTGGTGTGCTTTCCAAGAGCCTCTGGGGATGCAGCATTGCAGGGGTCCCCAACGGGCGTATCCAGCAGCCCCGGATGTCCTGCCTCAACGCCGCGGGAAGGCTCAAACCAGGGGCCCATGTAGGCCTTGCATTGCAATTCTCAGAGAGCGGGTGGAGATCAGACCCGCTCGTCATCGCGACCGCGGATGCCATGCAGACGTTCGCCACGGTCATTGCGGCTGGCATGGTCTCCAGGAATGCGGCCAATGGACTCATCGTAGAGACGCGGCCCTGGCTGAAAGAGCGCCACGCTTGGAACAAAGTCAAGAACCCCATCTCAGCTCTTGCAGTATCGCTCCACAGAATTGGCTGGACGCTGGAGGACGCAACTACTGTAAGAGATGATGAGGGCACAGTCTGGGGCACTTCTCATCATTCGGCAGAGCTCGTCGCAGACATGGTCAAAAAGGGAGTGCAGAGGCACATGAGCCGAGATGTTATGAGAGGACTACGCGGCGCAGGCGAGGAACCGAGGTTGGGGGAAATATCGCGGGGCCACTTCAGACGGCTATGAAGTCAAAGAGACGATCCCCGCATGAGAGGAGATCTCTTCGGGGCCTCTGCTCAGGAGGTCACTGGTGCCAAGCCAGAGTGGCTCGAGCTTTCCCAGACCAGGGTCATTTATGCAAGCGCCGTGGCATAGCGCCAGGAACTTTATTCTACAGATTTTTCAGTTGCGACGCCTACGCAGGCCAAAGACAGATCCTGATTCCCGATATCATACGTAAAGCGGCAGGGGAAATCAGCAGAGGGAGTCCTGCGATGCAAGAGAAGTTTGCGAGAGGCATCCTGCAGAACCCTGGTCAGGCCTTTGCCAACCTGCCGCGTTCCTCAGTTCACGACTTCATCGACGTCGACAACACTGGAGTGGTCACAGTAGCAAACGGGTCCGTTTTCGTCGACGGCAGCGGGTTCCACACCAACATTCCAGAGCTCAGAGTTGCAGGCTGGGCAGTGATCGCCTTTGACAGTGAGCGTCGTCGAGTCGGACGTTTCTATGGTACAGTACCAAAGCAGATCGGGCCGCTACAGGTGGCGAAAGATGGTGAAGACTACGCAATTTGTCAAGCTAGTCGACTGGTGCTAGGTACGTGGACGCTTCTATCAGACTGCAAGGGTTCATTATCGTGCTGGTTCAACCTACCTTGGGCTGTGGGATCTAAGTGCGCACGGGCACATATCTGGAAGCTGACTAGGCTGAGGGAAGATTTCAGCGATCAATGTTTCATGCACGTTAAAGCTCACGCAACAATGAAAGGCGCTCGTGAGGATAACACCTCGCATTTTCAAATGGACGGCAACGGGGAGGCGGACTCCTGGGCCAAGCATGGTGCAACGCAGATACTACCTCCAGAGCAACTGGTTAAGTGTGTGAACGGTTGCCGCAGACTTCATCGCACCTTGCTTGAGTATCTGGCGAGATTCGAAGTTTGGTTCTACTCTCAGGAGGAACAATTTCTGGATTATTGGTTTCCAGTGGCAGATGATGACGAAGAAAGGATCGAGCAGGCGTTGCGCATGGAAGAAACGTCAACCGAGCCTTGGTTTGTGGGCAAATATGCCCTGTACGAATACAAAGCTATGGGTCTGGACTACTGCCTAGTGTTCTGCACGACGTGCTGCAGATACTTCAACTTGGAGCCGCACAAAGGTCTGGACGTGACGTGCCCTGGGCGATCGGTGCCAGGACGTGGAGTTGAGAACACGCGCCACTTCGAGAATCTCAGGCACCCGCAGAGCTCAAAGAAGCACGTGAAGTTGGACGGACCGTCTCGGCCATCAGCGGAGACGAGGAGGACTATGTGTAAGATCAAACAGTGGACCGATCCGTTGGTGGACACGGTTGTGGAGAGACCAGCGGCTGTATCACCTGCTCCCGCTGGGGATACCAGGTACCTCGATGTGCCCAGAATTCTACGTGGGTATGGGCTTTCATATGATGAGGTGCAGGAGCTGGGTCAACCTAGTCCCGATTCAGGCTCTGATGATGATGGCAGCGATGACGGACTTTTTGGCTGACTGTTGGGCCGATGCTGGTTCGGCGTTCAAATCCTGCTTTGGGCAGGTTCAAATGTCGCCAGGCAGGTGCAGGTCGGCCAGGTCCCTTGGGATTGCAGCGTGGCTGGCCCTTGGGCACCTTAAGTGCTGGCCTGCATCCAGCCAGTTTTGCTGCATGCAGCTCGAGCGTGTTCGAGCTGATCCACGTGAGGGTTGGCACGGCCCTCTTCATCAGTGGCCACCTGGGCTCGCTGGGCCACCTGGGGTTCGGCCTCGCCCTTTGGTCGCTGGACCTGCTGTGCGTGGCGTTCCGCGCCATGGCAGGCACCGTGCACGTGAGCACGGGCCTGCCGCAGGCTCCGTGCCCCCTGGCCGCTCGGCCGCCTTGCCGGGTCCGACTGGCTCCCCACCCCCCGCCTCGGCGCATGCAACGCGGTTCCTGGCCCTTTGGGCTCCGTGGTGCACGCTCTGGGGTGGGGGGCGGGGGGGCTAGTGGGCCCTCCGCCCGCCGCCGCGGGCCGACCCAACCGCCTCTCGGCTGCTCGCTTGCTCCTCCTCCTCCTCCTCCTCCTCCTCCCCTCCTCCTCCTCCTCCTCCTCCTCCTCCGCTCGTGTAGCCGCATGGAGATCGAAGAAGAACAACTTGCCAGGGAGGGGGGGGCCAGCGCAGATCCCAGAGATATACGCGTGGAGCTCCGCAAGCTGCTATGTTTAGTTATGCGGTTCCTCATTCGTAGCCTTTCGCTGGGGGGCTCTCGTGGTGTTGCAAAGAAGGGCCACAGAAGGGTCCCACGTGGGGAGACGGGAGTCCAGGGACCGCCGTGGTCGCCCACACCGGCTGCCGCTTCGCTGGAGATGTCTTCACGCTCGTTTCGGGAATGGTGTTTTCACCTCAATGTCAGTAACAGTTTTGATCTAGATGAGTCACCGAGCGCGTTCCGCTACTCGCAAAGTGCCTACTCGCAAGCGTCCGAACAAAAACACCTGTCCGCTTTGATATAATATATCGTAGATCCCCCGCGGGGGATCTGGGCCATTTGCGAGTAGTTACTTTGCTAGTCATGGAACGCGTTCGTCGAAAAAAGGTAAACATGGCCGTGCGCTCAGCCCTGTCCCGCCACGTTTTCTCTGGCCGGCCTCCTACTTTTCGACCCGCGTTCAAGCAGTGGCGAAGCGTCCTGGCTCGCCTATAGCCCTACCAAACAATGTTCTAAGAACCTTCTTTGGTGTCACGAAATGTTCTTAGAACATTTCTGGCGGAGTCTGTCTTGTTTTATCACATCGGGTTTATGTTCTAAGAACATGGTGTTTGTTCTTAGAACATGTTTGGGTTCTAAGAACAGTTCGTGGTAGGGTTATAGATATGCCGGGACGGTCGGTCCCTGCTCAACGCCTCTCCACCTTTGCTGCTACATCAGGGTGCGTTGCGGGGGCATTTTTTTCCTTCGGCATTGGCCGAATGCACCCCCCCCCCCCAGAAAAGCCCACAGGAGATCTGCACGGATCCACTCGACACTGGCAGCCGCCGGCTCTGACTGCAACAGGATGTCTGATGTCCTCGAAGCAGTAAAGAATAAAAACACTATAGTTGAAAGAAGGCGCCGACAAGCGCATACTTGTTGAGAAGGCAGCCGGGTGTGCCGGCGGTGCAGTCCCCAGTCGGTTTTGTGAATCGGCGTGCGTCTTTTTGGGATGTATTCGGTGGATGACGGACGTCGATGGGCTGCCCCGCTGGGGTGCACTCGGAATGCGGTGCCGTGCGCACGTGGAGCGCCGCTGGCAGTTTTCATGGAGCGGCGTCTTGCTGGATGGGGTCCTGTCCACCCCCGATTCCACTGAGGTCCGACGTCGCAACACAGAAATGCAACATCGCAAAAGTCACGACCAGAGCCCCCGTGATCCCCTCTCTCTGCTCCAGGTTTTCGAGCCGCCGCGACCTCTGCGAGGGCCCCAGGCCCGCAGCCGAGCGCAGACGCCCGGCCTGAAGAAATTGCAACGCCCGGGTCAGAGCGTCTGTCGGACAGCCACTCAGATCCACCCCCGACTCCCTTCTCGGGGGCTGCTGAAGCTGCCCCCGGCCCGAGGTGCTCCAGCTTGGCGCTCCATTTCTTGGAGCCCCCTGGGCCCCCGTGGGCCTCGTGAGGGGTGCGCTGGCGGCCGTGCGGGCCGCCAAGGAAGTCCTGGGGAGCACCTTGGGCCAGGGGCACTTCCAGCAACATCCGATCATTAGGATCGGGCGATCGCAAACATGGATCAAGGGGGCGTGGATTAGCGACGGGTCCCGTTTCTGTGGGAGACCGCGGATTCCCGCCGCCGAACGAGGCGGCACCGGCCGCACTCTGGGGAGGGCACCTCTCCCCCTATCCCTGGATTCCGCGACCGCGCGCCAAGTCCACGGATCGCTGATCCATGCTCGCGTGCCCCAGATTCTTGGCATCGCTCGGACGTGTGCATTTTTCCTTCGGCGAGGACCATCGAGGAGCATCCTCATTTGGCGAACAAAAACCACGCACGAAACCGAAAAAAACACAGGGAATGGACGTCCGAGCGATGGTCCCAGACAGGAGCGGGAGATCGCCTCGCGCGTGCAGCGGAACGCGCAGCGGCAGGCCCGCGAGGACCGGGAGTGCAGCGCGTTCCCGGCGCTCCCCGGCGGCAGCGGCGCCGTGCCGCTGCCCCGGCGGGCGCCCTCGTTCGAGGGCTCGGGCGAGACGGGCCTGGAGTTCCTCGCGAGGCGGAAGGCCGATCGCCGTGGTTCGAAGAGCAGAAACTCAGATTCCGGCGAACGGGTCCTTTGCAAATCGGCGGCGGCCAAGAGGGGGGTGATGACTAGGGGGGGGGATATCATGGCGGGGGCCACATGATATTTCCTCGGATTTCATGGCGCCCCGTCTTCTTTCAATACGTTCACTGGCCCGCCCCTGGTCCGCGCACATGCCTCGGGCCATGATTTGCACCCCCCCTCTTGGACGCCCCCCTCTTGGAAACTTCGGAGGTGGATAGACCTCCTACCCTGACACGTCGATGAAGGAAGTGGCCGTTTTCCGTTTGCGGTTCGCGAGGGGCGCCGCGGCCGTTGTTTTTGCGGGTCCGGGTCCGTCGGTTTCGGTCCCAGGCCGTTTTCACTAACTCCTCCTCCTCCTCCTCCTCCTCCTCCTCCTCCTCCTCCTCCTCCTCCTCCTCCTCCTCCTCCTCCTCCTCCTCCTCCTTCTCCTTCTCCTCCTTCAAAGAGGGGGTCACGAAGAGGTGCGCCACAGTGCGTGCTGTCGCTCTTGCCGGATCGTGCCGGTCGCGGGCAGGCTGCGTTGCATTCGGCATCGTTGGTCCGTGGGAGAGGCCACGCGCCATGAGTCACAGGATTAACTGTTGCCATTGTTTTGGCGACCCCATGGCGAAGGACCCCCTTCGCCTGGAACCAACAAAACTCAAGGGGGGAAACAAAAAGCACCCCGACTCCCCTGACTGGCGGTTACTGGACAGCCCTGGGCGTTTACAAAACAGCTCCGCACTGTTCGAGTTGTTCTCTGGGTGCGACGGCACAAACAATGAATCGCCCGGTGGGACGCCCGGATTTCTTGGATCGCCGTTGGGGCTCCCTGGCGGCGCCTCTGGCGCCGCTCGATCCAAGAGATCTGCGCGGACCTCCGAGAAAGTATGTTTGTGTGCCACGCGCAGAGGGACGTGGGGGAAGGGGGGAGGGCGTCTTAGAAGCACCCCTGCTTCGTAGAAGGCGCGGGCCTTCTCTATAGATGTTAGGCCGGCGCCTTCTAAGAAGCAGCCTCCTTCTAAGAAGCCCTCCCCCCTCCCTCCACCCCCTTGTGCGCACCGCCGAGTCTTGTGCTTTCCTCCAGAGAAGGGTTCCTGGTGGGAAGTGGCTGTTTCTGTTCATCGCCCTCTGCTCTTGCCAAGGCACGGCTCGGAGTGAAAAGCCGGTCCTGGGGGAAGGGCCTCCGGGATGATTTTCCAGAATGCCAGAAGGTGGACCACGTCGTGAAGGACACCGAGATGCTGAGGACGTCACTTCGAGGCCTCAACTTCTTCGAGGAGTTCGACGACGAGGGAATGGAGGAGCTGATCAAGGCGATGCAGGTCTACCAGTTCGAGGACCAGGAGAGGGCCGTTCGGCAGGGCGACACAGATGGAACCCACTTCTTCGTGGTGGCGGCGGGCGAATTCGTTGTCGAGAGAGACCGCGAGCCGAGAGTGATCCTGGGGCCTGGCCGCTGCTTCGGCGAGAGCGTGCTCATGCTCTTCGGCGAACGGAACGCCACGGTCGTCAGCCGCGGGCGCGCCCAGGCCTACGGCATGGAGGGCATGGCAGTGCGCGAGATGCTGCGGACGCAGTACGAGCAGAAGCGCGCGCCCGTGGTCGAGGCCCTGGACGAGGTGATCAGCTCCAACGCCTGCGAGATGCTGTCCGCGCTGAACGCCTACCAGCTGCAGAGCCTCTACGACCAGGTCGAGATGCGCAGGTTCGAGAAGGGCGCCGTGCTCATGGAGGAGGGGCCCTGCGACGCTCAGGAGGTGATCATCGTGTGGTCCGGCAGCGTCAGGGCCGCGGAGCGAGGGCAGGACCTCGGCGAGCTCCCGCGCTTCGCCGTGGCCGGTGACCGCGCCATGGTGTTCCAGGAGAGCCCCACCACGCTCACGGCCTGCGGGGGGCCCGTGCAGGTGCTGGTGCTGTCCAGGCGCCTGCTCGAGACCATCTTCGGGGACCAGATGGAGCAGGCGCTCGTGCGCAACCGGCTCCTCTGCGTGCTGGCGCGCCACCAGGTCTTCTCCAGGGTCCACGAGGAGCAGCGCGAAGCGATCGCGAACGCGTGCGTCATCCGCGAGATACAGCCCGGGCAGGAGCTGACCGGCGTGCAGATCTGCGAGGGCGTGCCGGCGACGGGGCCGGCGCAGGCGGCGCCCAGCTGCCTGACGTCGGCGGACTATTGGCTGACGAAGGAGGACATGCGCCTCGCACTGCAGATGCAGCTGCAGCCAGACAGGTGCGAGAGTCTTGTCCTCGAGCTGACGAGCACTCAGGACCTGCTGAGCTTGGCGGCCCTGCGCCGCTCGACGGCGCAGGCGAGCGAGAAGGCCAGGTCGGACGAGCGGGCTTTCAAGGTGGTCAAGAGGATCCGGAGAAGAGAAAACGAGAAAGCAGTAGAAGCTCGGGGCTCACGAGACGGGGGTCGATGCCAACGGGGGTCAGCCAGAGTGCTGGATCTTGCAGGATCCCGCAGGGCCAGGGCTGCACTGACCTGGGCTCGGGTGCAGGATCCTGCTGGATCCTGCAAGGCCTGACTGGCCCAGGTCTGGATTGACCTGGGTCAGTAGGTCCCCGATAAGCATCACCTGTGGGAGCCCTGGGCGGATTCCCCTCCCTGGTCAGAGGCGGCGCCGGAGGCGCCGCCAGGGGGCTCCAGCGCCGATCCAAGAGATCCTCGCGGAGTGCTGAAAGTTTATGCTTGAGTAGGTTTCATTGCCCCTCGCAGGATGATGGAGTACCGTGTCCCGAAGCACGCGATCTGCAGCCTCCCGGAGCTGGTGGGCGACGCCGGCGACAGAACCCGCGGGGCCCTCGAGGAGCTGGTGGGCGCCTGCGTGCCCCGCGCGGAGCACCAGCTCGACGGAGAGGTCACCACGTGCGTCACGAGGGACGTGCCGACGGGGGCGCAGGAGCAGGGGCAACGTGAGGTGGGGATAATCAGGCTGAGGGGGGGGGGCGAGGTTTCGAGGTTCGAGGTTTTCGAACGCGTTCGTCGATGCTCAGCGGTTTTCCAGCATCGGGATGCCTTCCAGCAGCTGCGTCTCGCCGAGAGCGTTCCAGGGGCGCCCAGGTCGTCCCGAACGGCCGCCAAAGAGCTGAGTTATGGCCCGAAGGCCAATGGGCAGCGCTAGGGGGGGAGAGGCGCAGTTGGGAACGCATCGACCCCCAAGCACCCATTCATCGCCGACATGGGCCCCATGGCCCCTTCCCGCTCAGGAGCGCGCGGATTCGCTGTCGGGGGCCAATCGCCGCTCTGTCAGCGGTGCATCGCCGATCCCAGGTGGGCCACCCCCCTGACTCGGGCCGGACGAAAGGGGGGGATTGGGAAAGGAGGGGTTACGAAATTTGCTGCATGCAGCTTGTTTCGGCCTCACCGAGGGGCCCATTCCTCGATACATAGCTCCGTCCGGCGCCGGGAGGCGCCGGGAAAATCAGCTACGTGAGCTGATTCTCAAACCCCCCCTTTGCTATCCCCCCCTTTCGCCTGACCCGACTGACGTTCCCCGCCTCAGGAGGTGCCCGTGCTGTCCGCCGAGTGGTTTGGCAGCGGCGACCAGATCGAGATCTCCGCCGGCGAAGTCTCGGAGACCAGGGAGCTGGTCGGCCTCGGCCCGGCCGGCGCGGACGCCCCCCTGTCCTTCAGGTCTGCACGAACGAAATGGGCACGGAAAGAATGGGTACAATGCCCAACAGCGGATCTTGTTCATTTTGAACAGGACTCGCTGTCCACGCCTCCGCGGCCTGTGTCCGTTCGAGACAGAAGGCCGCCTGCCCAACAGCGGCCGCTGTTGGTTTGGGACAACATTTGTTGTTGGGCATTGTGCCCATTCTTTCGTGCCC